CTATTTCCACCGTCCATCACTTCACAGTGAGAGCCATCGCCATATGGAAAGTTACCCGTGATCCTTCAGAAGCTGACCTTTCGTCTGATTGGTTGAACGTTCGAGGAACACGTCTCCAGCCGGAACATTTTGGGAAAAGTTTTAAAATGTTGCTCGTAGCCGGGACACGTTCCTTCTAGCTAGACGAAACATTTCTCGGAAGCCTGCCGCTTAAAGCCGTGCTACTAGAATCTCGTTTCTCGGAATTGTCCCGGGTAAGCGCGCGCGTCTATAGATGTGATAACAGCATAAGATACTGTAGTGAACGTGTGTCGATCTGATTTAATGAAGCGCATTCCGATTTGGAGTTTGAGTTCTTGTTTGTATACAAGGTTAGCAGTGCTTAGTTCTTATTATATGAACTCAAACCTTTCCTTATGTCTGCCTTTGCTGGTTCGCCTCGGTACTGAAGCAGCCTCGATTCGTTTTGTTACATATCTAGCAGTTTTACAATTCCCAGTCAAAGGACAAACATCAGTGTATCTTTCAGACAAACCTATTTTGCCTATTTTAAAGTGAGAATTGATGATCAAGGGAAATCGTGGGCCTCTTACAAAGTGTTCAAGAAGTGTATCGAGAGTTTACGGATGTGGATGAAGGGAGCACGTTCTAAATTTCTGTTGGTATACTTATGATTTGGCGAAACTCCAAGGATCACTCAAGTGATTTTTACTTTAGTATAGTGAAAATGTCAGGATATAACAATTAAAATAAACGTAAAATAAAGTATCTTAGTTTACCATCAGCTGTACTCCCAGTGCCAGGTTTCAAAGAATCACCCTCTTTTGAAATACAAGAATACGATTCTGGTGAATATTGAATTGATCCAAACTACAAAGTTTTTGAAATTGAAGATAATTCCGTTTGTAAGGGATTTGATAGCAGCAGTTCAATGATTCCGCCCGAGGTTTGGAACTATCTAAAAAGGGTTCATAGCTGTTAGCATCAAGACTGTGCGATGAAAACTTGCTTGAAAAAGGAGCTGAGATATCCTACTTTCGATCAAAAGAAAGTGCGTTTCGGCAATGCTCTCGAAGTGATGATGGATTTGTCTATTGCCATAACGTACATAGTTTAATGGAAGAGTTGGGAATTTCAGCCTCTAACGCAACTCGATGATTTTTCATCAATAACATAAAGCGGAGCTTGATGTGTATCCTCCTCTACAATGGAAATTTATTTCGTAATATCCCAATAGGCCATTCTGTTGGTTTGTGAAGAATATGAAGATCTAAAGAGAGTCATTGATTTGCTGCAATATCAGATACACCAATGGAGCATCTGTATTAACCTTAAATTGATCTGAATATTTCTTGTCCAGCAACGCGGATATACTAAGTATCCTTGTTTTCCTGTTTTTTGTGTATGGGGGATAGCAGAGCTTCTGCCTGCTTTCCCACATACTCAAAAAACAGGAACGTTGAAAGCAGTCGAGAAGTTTTGTGTGCAGTCGAATTGGCCGCCGAGATCTGACCGGAAGCCTGGTGATCCAAACATTCTATATCAGTCACTTCTCGACAGAAAATATGTTACATTTCTACCTCTGCATATAAAACTGGGCTCTTGAAGCAATTTGTTAAAGCTTTGACGATTGAAGGAGACAGTTTCAAGTATCTCATTTCGGCATTTCTTATAACCTGTCATTTGAAAAGATAAAGACCAATGTTTTTGATTGTACACAGATTCGATAGCTCCTCGTTTGGAACAATCAGAGAACTTCAAAAGAATGCTTGGTTGGTTCAAAGAATGCTTGGCATTCAAAAACATTCTCAAAAACGTTCTTGGAATACACGAACACAGAATTACAGCGAAATTTTCTAGCAACTTTTGGAGATCTTCAAAATGCTTAGTTTCAAAATGAGCATCAGTGACTCCACAAAGATATGAAAGTCATGCAGGTATAGTACCAAAGCAGATGATATATATATATATATATATATATATACTAGAAAGCGAGGGTCATACGAAATGACCGCTGTTCTAGATATTATAAATTGTAATTAAAATGATTTGTGCAAAGGTGTCTGCTAATTCAAACTGAATTACCCAGAGCAGGCGGCGAGGACGCCCCTTTGCTTACTGCCCCACGGGGTTTTCCTTTCTAATTACTTAATTGCTTAGAGTGCAATGAAGGAAACCACTGGAGGTACATTTTTTTAAGAGCCACCGCTAGCTCAATAAATAAAGGTGATTTAAATAATAAAATGTTAATTCACATGTCAAAGATCTCTTTGTACACAACATTTCTTGTGTAGATCTTGCCATTATTTTTAAGCTCGCCTTGCAGAGGACTATCAATTATTTTTAATTTTACGTCGCTTTTTCACGAGCTCTTGAACAGGCAACATAAAGTTGACCGTTTCCAAATGCAGGCTCAGGTAAAAAAATGCCAACACGCTTAAGCATTTGGCCCTGAGACTTATTAATGGTCATAGCAAAGGCAAGTTTTACAGGAAATTGTCTACATCTCAATTGAAACGGCAACCCTGTCCGTGGCAACTTCACCCCATTGGCTTCACCCATATTTCATTTTATTTGTTTTTTCATCGTTGCCGGTTTTTGCCGGTTGCATATTTTCGAATTCTATTATATATAGATGTTAAATTTGTATTAAATGTTAAAAGCACGTGCTCTTGTATTTTTAATTTTTCTGGCTTAGCTTTCTCATAATATTCGTCAAGCACTGCACTGCACGAGGAATAAAACAAATTACAGTTACACAAGCAAACAATAAACTATCGGCGACAAACACATAAGCCGCATATATATAAGATGATGGCTGACTATTGTTGGAGCATTAAGAGAAAATGTCTACAGATTAAACACTCCAGAAAAAGGCCATAAGCAAAAGTTTTTATCTTATGTAAATTTGGTAAAAAAAACTTTACTGTTTGTATAAACAAAATTTTATAGCCTTTGTATGAATAAAACTATTCATTGTGAAGAATATTTTTAGTAAGTTTTCCCCTTATTTTCCCTTATATGCATACAAAGAGGGGATAATGTACCTTAAAATGTTGACGTGACAGGCAAAATCTAGGGTTATTTTTGGATTCAAGTGCCCAGAGATAGTCAAAAACAAGTGATAGATCTAAGACAACGGAATTGTTGTTCCCAAACGACACAATATCGCCAGATACTCAGACTCAAAAGATATCAATAGATTAAAATAAAAGCAAAAAACAAATCCAGCTTATCACTTTCATCTATTATTTAGAAAATTACTATTTAAACTTTCCTATTTTATACTAGTGATAGATAAACAATTATTATTATTATAATTAATGTTTAACTATTAAAATTAAACTGGGATATAGTAGCTTATCCGATTCTTACTAACGTCACCTGTCGAATAAATAGCAGAATAAAACTCCACAAAGAAATTACTACTTAAAATGTTTAAAAAAACTTTACAAATGAATTAAATTTTTCATCGTAATCATATAATATGAATATTTTTCAGGCAGCATTTTATGCATAAAACACTATTCATAATTAAGCCAAATTTCAAATTTAATTGCAAAATGTTATTGATTTGCATAAAAATAAACTGAATAAATAAACAATTAAAAAAATTAACACTGTGGCGCCATCTCTTGATCAAAATTGAATGGAAAGGTAAAATGAAAAAAAGGTAATGAAACGGAGCTTTTAAGCACTTTTGGTACAGTGAATTAAAGAATCACGATTCAAAATATCTTAGAAAATTAAACCAGCAATTTGAAAGAATTTCAATGTTCTTCGATACAACATAAAAAATTAAATGTTTGAAAATTCGACTTAAGTTTACAAACAAAGAATTCCATGAAGCTTTTGGAACAAAATGAAAAGGTTAATAGTCACTCTCGCTTTAAATTTCAAATTCTTAACATATTTCAAGAATATTATTTCCGCTGGAGAAATTAGTAATTCAGACAGCTTAGGCAATCGCTATATGGATTACTTTCTCCTAAAATCTTTTAAGGATGATATTATTTTATAAACTAATTTTTTCAGATGTCCTAAATTACTTCAGGATCTCCATTAAATAACAGAAGAAAATAAAGAAATATATTATATATAAATATAATATATATAAATATATTATATATAAATATAATATATATAATATATATATAATATATATAAATATATTATATATTAAAAATAAAGAAGAGCACTCGAGTTTAAATTCATAGTTTAATTATTAACAAATAACTGAAGATTAATGTAGAATTTTCTTGAATATTGTATTTACAAATTTTCATGTTTTGAGTGGAATTTTAATTTAGAAGCAAACTTTGTCATCTTCCAACAACTGTCACTTTAATTCAGCTCTGAAATTCGTTAACTTTTCTTTCCCAGTGCATTCATAAATAACGTTTAAATACAATTAGTTTACAAATGTTTAACTTACATACGTAATTCAAGAAAATTGATGGCTACTTTTCATTTGTAAATTAAAAGAATTTTAAATATATACGCTAATACAGATTAATTTTAGTTACAGCAAAAATGTTCTTTCCGAAATAAGAAATCCAAACGATTTTGAGTAATTGCAAATATATAAAACGCGTATTAAAACTTTACTGAGCGAGATAAATTTTAGTAAAATATACGAGTTCGACTATTATTTTCGTGAAATTTCCATTCATTCATACAAGAATTTCATTATTTATAATATATCCCATTGCCATTAGTCAGCGATTTAAAAACTGACCAGTCGCATTTCACCAATGGTTTTATATGCCACTTTTAGTGGTACACGAAGAATTATTGTGTATAATATTTGTGCTCCTACAGTAAAGACGTGTAAAGAGTTAAAACAATGTTAACTTTTTTCAGAATGCAACATTTATAGTAATTTAGAACTTTCAAATTTTTCTTTTGAAATGATTTAAGTAAAAACGATCTCAACATGGAAACATAAATTGCACAAGATTTCAGTAAATGTTCAATAGCTGATGAATTCTAAATCTTACCTGAAGTGGATGAAATCTATAGTATCGAAGTGGATGATTAAAAAAATACCGTTCTGCTTCCAATACAAAGAATAACAGTTATCTTTCCAGTTGGAAAACTTAAGACCTTATATCTTGAGATAAATATTCAATCACCTGATTAAGGAGATAAAAATGCACTGTATTTATAAATTTCATACTCTTTGATTTCGCCATCTTGCAGAGAAACGCTCCACTTCTGTAAACAAAGCACATGCCAATGAAAAGAGAACGATTAAATTAATTAAGTAACCCTTCACACAATGAGGTTGTTTAAAGCACTTCTAAAAACTAAGTAAATAAATATTTAAATAAGATTAAATAAAAGTAATATTCTTTAGAAAATGCTGTAAAAGGTCACTTACAATAAATAAAAGAATTAAATTTGCATGAAATCATGAGTTTTCGAGAGAATCTTCTATTAACTGAAGGTAATTCTATTTCAAAGTTTTATTATAGCACTTATAATTGATGCTCGATTAATTGAACTGGCCAGTATGGGTTCGGTAAATCGATTTATATCTAAAATTAAATTCTTCCGTTTATTCTTGAAAACTGCATTTCTTATTTCATATCAATATAAATTTATTATATTGTTACGAAATGTAAAGGTGCGGTAGGATGGCTTCCTCGCAAAGCAGTTTTAGGGTTGCCATAAAATAGCAAGGAGAGCATAGTTGCCACATTTTGGCGAGAAATCGCCCATTTGGCGACAAAATTGGCGATATACCATGGACGGTCGGAGAACCTTCTGGAACGAATTCTTACCGGTTTAACCAGAATGTTCTCGAACACAGGCCGAAAGCTATATAAACCCTGCTGGTCCGCAGTCAGTCAGTGCGTCTCCGAGTGCGTGCCTCGTTGGGAGGGCCTGTCTCCACCGTGATAGCCTGAAGGCTGTGTCACTGATTGTTCCAGCGAGTGTATAGTAGATCTTCGACGACTGTAAACGTGTTTTGGAGCTGTCCTGACAATACTGACCAATAAAGTGTGTTTCGATACTTAATTAAGTAGTGTCGTCGTTATTCACTCCAAATCTACAAACCCCGTACGAACGTGAACGAAAAAAATAACGCAACTGGTGTCAGAACATATATTACTTTGAGCGTTATAACGCATGGAATGTTATTCTTTTTGTTATGTTTAGAATGCTAAATAAATAAGTTCGGTGTTAATTAAAAAGGTTTTCTCTGCTAAATATATTACCATTCGTCCGAAGTTATTAAATAAGTCAAGAAATTGATTAATTTCAAACAACTGGCGTCCGTGACAGGACGGAATGGCTATTTGAAGAAAACGAAACAACGGTTTGAAAACGAAACATCGATTTAGTATTGGAATTTATCAAGTGAGTTCATGATTTAGGTGCTACTTTGGTAGACGGTTGCACGGATTTTGGCGATTTTTTGGCGATATTCTGGCGATATTTTTTTGGCGAGCGATACGACTTATGGTAAACCCATTGCTGGACAAGTTACTTATGGTAAACGATACTTTGTTGTCATTTTATTTAAAAAATAATGCGTTTTATTATGCATAAATTCCGTGTTTTAAATATTATTTATGACTTCAAAATAATAAAAATGAATTTAATTTTGCATTTTTATTTGAAATAAAAATTTTATGTTTATGATATTTTATGGAATTTTATGTCGTGAATGATGTAATGAATGACGTCACATTATTTTAAAAGTAATTGGTTTTAATATCTATAAATTTAATCTAATGTTTTAAACATTACTTATGGCTGTTAAATATTAAAATACAATTTAATTTTGTAATTTTTTAAATATGATTTTATTATGAATGATTATTTAAATAATTTTAATTCTATGCGTGATGTAATCAGCTCCCTGATTGGTTACTGAATATTTGTGCATTTCCGCGCCATTTTAAAATTTTATTATTCATCTCTTCGAATTCCTCAGATTTCAAAACGAATGGATGTCTCCGTTTCGAAGATAAATGTTGTTATTGGTAATTACCAAGAATTATTGGTATCGGCATAAAAAAATTGCCGTTTGAGACTTTATTTTGGACAACCTGGATTTCCTACTCAAAGATTTATTTATTGTTACAAGGTTCAGAAGAAATTTATTAAAATTTTTTTGAGGAAACCTCGCTAATTGTTTCTTCAATGAAGTGCGAGAGATGGGGATAACAGATGAAAATCTTTTTTTTTTTTTTTTTTTTTTTTTTTTTTTTCTTTCTGGTACTTATCAATATACTTAAGGTAAAATGGTAAATGCTTAAAAAAATGTAAAGTACATATTTTTCTTTTACTTTATTATTGTATACTTAAATTTTTATTAAAAAATTAATACACTTTTTTTAAAAATTCCTGAGATATTTATTGCCACATATGTTTTAATGTTAAATAATTATATCCTATAAAACTTATTTTAAAGGATTTGAATTTAAGTAATTGAAAAATTTAATTCTTTTAAACATTGGTTAATGTTTTTAATTCAATATTCAATTAAAGTAATATTTTACTCCAATTAAATGTTGGCGCAATGTTTTTATAGCGGTGTTTTTATTCTATTATATGAAAGTAATAATTTAACCTTACTTTAGCATTTTATACACTTAGTAAATCTGGTGCTACTTTGGTAGACGGTTGCACGGATTTTGGCGACTTTTTGGTGATTTGCCTTTTGGCGAGTAATACAACTTATGGTAAACCCATTGCTGGATGAGTTATTTATGGTAACCGATACTTTGTTGTCATTTTATTAAAAACATAATGCGTTTTATTATGCATAACTTCCGTGTTTTAAATATTATTTATGGCTTCTAAATATTAAAAATCAATTTAATTTTACATTTTTATTTGAAATAAAAATTTGTTGTTTATAATATTTTACATAATTTTATGTTGTGGATGATGTAATCAATGACGTCACCTTACTTAAAAAAATAATTGGTTTTATAAATATCTATATATTTAATCTAATGTTTTAAACATTATTTATGGCTGTTAAATATTTAAATAAAATTTAATTTCGCATTTGTTTTAAAAATTATTTTATTATGAATGATTATTTAAATAATTGTAATTCTATGCGTGATGTAATCAGCTCCCTGATTGGTTACTGAATATTTGTGCATTACCGCGCCATTTTAAAATTTTATTATTCATCTCTTCGAATTCCTCGGATTTCAAATGGAATGGATATCTCCGTTTCGATGACGAATGTTGTTATTGGTAATTACCAAGAATTATTGGTATTGGAATAAAAAAAATTGCCCTTTGAGACTTTATTTTGGCCAACCTGTCTTTCCTAATCAAAGATTTATTTATAAATTGTTAATAGCGTCAGAGGAAATTTTGGAGGAGGAAACCTCGCTAATTGCTTCTTCAATGAATGAAGTGCGAGATATTTGGATAACAGATGAAGATGGGTTAAAAGATCCGATTCAATTACGATTTCGATTTTTTTTTGTGGTACTTATCAATAAACAAGAGATTAAATTATTCAAAAAAATGTAAGTACATATTTTTTTTTAAATTTTATAATTGTATACTTCAATTTTGTTAAAAAAATTAATACACTATTTTCAAAAAAATTGCTGAGATAATTATTGTCACATATGTTTTTAATGTTAATATATTTTATGTAACGTATTTTAAAGTATTTGAATTTAATAATATTCTAATTCTTTTAAATGTTGGTAGGATGGTTTTTAATTCGATATTCAATTTCAGTAATATTTTAATCTAATTAAACGTTGGCACAATGTTTTTATAGCGGTGTTTTTATTCTCTTTTTTTGCTATATGAAAGTAATAATAGCCTTACTTTAGTACTTTATACTCATAGTAAATGTATTTATTTACACTTGCCTGCCATCTTAAAAAAAGACATTTTCAACAAAAAATTAATCCATTACTTTTAACGATATTTATTTATTTATTTTTTAATTTTCGAATACTTTACTATGCGTAAAAACAGCGTTTTTCAAGATGGCTGACGATTGTAAAATTCGCGCCAACAATTGTGCCAACGTAAATCGCTAAAAATCCGTGCAACCGTCTACCAAAGTAGCACCGTAAATCTCTTTATTTACATTTGCCAGCCATCTTAAAAAAAACAACGTTTTCAACAAAAAATTAATCCATTATTTTTAACGATATTTATTTTTTTAAAGTTTCGAATACTTTACTATGCGTGAAATACGTAAAAACAGCATTTTTCAAGATGGCTGACAACTGTAAAAAGCGCGCCAACAATTGCGCCAATGTAAATCGCCAAAAATCCGTGCAACCGTCTACCAAAGTAGTACCATGATTTATTTGATTATATCCTTTATTATCTGATTATATTGGACGTATTGAATTTAAAATCATGGAATTTTTATTACGAAAGCGTAAGCCTCTAAGGCAATCGTTTACGATTACTGCCAGTGCTTTAGATGCTGAAATTCTAAAGCCTGACGTGGAGGTTAATCAACTCCAAGTATTGAACTCACAGTTGGAAGGGAAATTCAACAGATTAGATGAAGTTCAATCCCAAATTTCCGAACTTTTGTTGAAAAGTGAAAACGATAGTGAATATTTGGCTGATTTTGAGGCTAATGAAACATATCGTGATAAATATATCAGTATAAAAACAAAAGGGTGAATTCCACTCCTGTAATTACACCTAGAATTGTAGAAAATTCCACGAAAAGGAACTTTAAATTACCAAAGTTGGAACTTCAAAAATTCAATGGAGAGACCCGAAATTGGTTAGGATTTTGGGGACAGTTTAAGAAGATCAACGAGGATGTAAATATAGATGACGATGATAAATTTCAGTACCTATTGCAGGCAACGGTCGTTGGATCCGCAGCGAGAGAGCTCATAGATAGTTATTCTCCCTCAGGCGCGAATTATAAAGAAGCTATCCAGCAGCTAAAATCTCGTTTTGCACGAGACGAATTACTGGTAGAAATCTATGTTCGCGAATTATTGGCTAGCAAAAAAGTTGGTTTTGGCTCAAGCTAGCAAAAAAGGAAATATGACTCTATCCAACTTATATGATAAGTTAGAGACGCAACTCAGAGCTTTGGAGACGTTGGGGGT